ATTTGGGGCATATTCCCCCCAGTGCCTGGGACTGACTTATTGTAGAGTAAGCCTTTGCTACGAAGCATTGCCCCTCCTGACTACCACCTCAGAATGATGGCAAATGAAGTCACCTGAGACATGCTCCAGGGTAACCGTAGCTTGTAATGCCAAAGGCTTAAACCTAGCTTAGCCAAATAGAAAGAGAATAAATATCATAAGCTATCTTAAATTTTCTACATTACAAAAAAGAACAAGTAGAATGAACAGGAATAATGTATTGATTTGGCTAGAAGTATTCAACTATTATTAATTATTATTCAACTATTATTATTATTATGCTAAGAACAAATACCTCTAGATAGTGGTAGGAGAAGGAAAGTCCGAACACTTCGCACACTGTGTGGAGACAGATGTTAGCACATTGAGAAGCCCCTCACACCGACCTTCTACTCCAGGACTTTACAGTAGCATCTGAAATCCAGCCCATCCTCCTTCCTGTCCATTTTGGCTATACTCTCCAGCCTTTCCCCTGAACTGCTTTGTTCCATTCCTTTTTTCCTAGCAGCTGTGGGTTTAGTTTACTTCTAGGAGCCATGGGTTCTTTTAGTCACTATCCAAGCTGTGGGATAAGTAAGTAGAAAAATACCCTGAGTCTCTAATCATCTTAACCTCCCCCCTCCAGCCATGCTGCCTTCTCTGTCTGTGTCTCCATTTCACTTAGCTGTCCCCACTGCTGTGGCTTCCTCAGCAACTCCTGCCCCCATTTCAAAGCAGAATGCCCTTAAAAGTTGTAATGGTTGAGCAGCATTCTGAAAAATAACTAGTCAGTAACTTTCAAAGGTGTTAATTTTATAAAAGCCAAAAGTGACTAAGGAATACTCACAGGCTAGAAAAGACCAGAGAGAAATGAAAAATAAAATGAAGATGCTTGGGCCAAGGGAATCTAAAAAGATGATTAGTTCAAAGGCCGGCAAATGACTAAGGTAGATAGCTAAAAATATTATATCAATGTTGGTTCTCTAGTTTTAATAACTGTACTGTTAACTTTGATTGTATAAGATTTTATATGCAGTGGAGGAGGGAGAACAGAATTCTCTATACTATTTTACAAGCTTTCTTTAGGTCCAGTATTATTTCAGAATAAAACATTTAAAAATAAATGTGATTATTCAAGATTTAGTAGAATGCATCTCTATCCCATTGGACTTGCTAGATGACATATTATTTCTGAGAAACTGTGATTCTTATGTTAAGCCTATTGCAGTAAGACCGTCACACAGGTTAATAAAAAGTCAATTCCAAGGTATAGAAAATCCACCTTAAGCACTACTATTAGACTGCAAATCCATTAAGAGAGTACAGTGCCACCTACATACAGTCAGTAATACTAAGGACTTAATGACAGCAAGTGTTACTGTGCCAGGCCTTTCATGTGACTCAGTAACCATTCCTTTTGAATTAACATAACTGAATAATATGCTTAAACAATAACTCTACTAGGATAACTATTCAAAAAGAAAAAGACAGGAAAAGATAAAAGAAAGGCTATAAGGAGGCATACTCCAGGGCATTCCTGCTCCCTCCTTATACCTGCCACCCAGGAGACAGCCTTGGTCAACACACTCTCAACCAAGCCTCATGCAGGAGAAGCCACTCTGTTCTACTATGTGATGTGAATTTAAACGGAGAAAGTATTTCATTCTGATGCAGAAGGTTCCTTTATTCACATGTGATTTTTTCCCCAATCATTAATGCTTTTCTCATTATTAACAGCAGCAGAAGGCCAAGTACAAGCAGCCTCAGAAGGAGTCAAGGTCATACAGTCGACCCTTCTCAATGAAGCAGTTACCACGGGGTTAATCTTGTTCTTTCTTCACACACACACACACTCTTACTGTTGGTGCATTTTGTACAGAACTTACACCCTTTTCTACTTTCAAATTCTAATGATTCACGGCTTCCACACTGTGTCCTTGAGGCCTTCAGTCCTTTCCTCTATCATCTCCCAACAGCCTACAGCCTACCTTCATCTTTTTGGCTTTAAATATAAACCCACATTCACAGTACTGTATTTATTAGAAACTTTGTATTTTTTAAGTTATACTATAGATATAAATTACAGATACAGACAGACAGACAGACATATATACATAGACAGACAGACTATATATATTGTATACATTGTAGATACCCAGACCTCTGGCCTCCACATACATGGACAAACACATGCACATAATCACATGCACATGCAAATGAACATGCATACACATATCCATACAAGCAAAACAAATCTCCAGAAATGCAAATGTAATATACTCACAAGGCTATATTCCACACATTCCGAATACATGAAAGATTGTGTTGGTATTTTTTTAAAATAAAGTACATTATCTTGCCTCCAGAGGTTATTTGTGTATTGATGAGAATTATTAACGATAATTTGTAAACAAAATGACAAAGTATATTTTATATTCTCTTTAGAATGACCAAGTAAATATTCATTTCCATATTCATTGTATGTGTTTTGAAAAGAGAGCATGTTCCGATATAGTAATGAAAAACATCACCTTGTTAAAAATAACATAGTGGTGCTTTTGGTAAGAAAGCAATGTTGCATGGCATGGATTAAATATATCAGTGAAAGTTTATCACACCAACATCAGTCTTTTTAAAGGAAGCAGTCTATAAATTGTATGAAAATATAAGGACAAATGTCTAGAAAGCACTTTGCTCATAAAACTAGACAGAAAATACCATAATACAAAATAGCTTTTATACTACAACCTCAAGTTAAAGAATTGGCTGCCACACTCGGATTCTTTCTCAAACACAGCCAACAGTATCACATATTAATTATTTGTTGTTCAATAATACAATACCAACACTAAGCATTCTTCTACATAAATGAGGCCTGCTTAGTGACAGAGCATACTAAATAAAGTGTATGTCATCTCTACATGACAAAGATATAGTGCATAACCTCCTCATTCAAAATTCACTTCACTGCAGTTTCAATAATTTAACAATCCCAATTTGAATATAAATGTTCATTTAAATTAACTTATATAATACATATCAATCACTATAATGTTTACCTAAAAGAGCTGCATTTTCCTTTAGAAATAAATCACTTTACGTCAGGAAATGTTTATGGACTCACAACCCTGAATTTCAAGGAGCCATCTCACAGGTTTTTTAATTTGAATTCCCTATTCAAATTTGCCTGTATCTAGTCAGCATATTTTCCTAGTGGGAGAAAACTACGTAGCTGTCCACCTGTTATGTGACTTCTTTCACTTGAGTGGGTATCCTCTTCATCAACAACTAAGTGAGGATGTAAATTGTCAAACTGAAGGTGAAAGAACAGTGTGCACATAATAAGTTTATCCCATGAGGAGGGGCTTATCAGGAGGTAGCAGAAACAGTGCACTGAATTGAAGGACACTCCAAAGAGTAGATCAACGCTAAAGAAAATTCTCAAAACCTCAGACGCATTTAATTCCCATTCCTGGCTGTCTGCCATCAGACCTCCACTCAGATGTATTTATTTCATTAGCTATTAGCCGCATGTAGGTAACCGGTTTTCAAATGAACCCTGGTAAGAGCAGTCTCAAAGGAGACACACTTACAGAATATCTATGTCCAGAGGCAAGCTCATCCACAGGTAAGTACGAGCAAGTTGATACTGAATTTTTCTATGTATTAAAATTACCATCCAACAAGAAAAATCACATTCCCACTCATGAATAAAGAATAACTGGGAATTGGAAAGATTCACAAAAATAAGCAACAATAACTCTACGACATCAGTTGCTGCCCCATGCGCTGATTTCCATAACAGGGTATCAGACTAGAACAGTTTTATAAACAACTGCAGCCAAGAGAAATTAGGCAAGTTCTGCCACAGGCTTCTCTGTGTAGATTTATTTTTAAAAACAAACAAAAAATCTCTAAGCTAAAGCACCACTCAAGCATGTGCAGGAGTGGACCCTATGTCACTGTGTCAGCTGTGCACACCTTGCCGTTCACTTTCTACACCCAACACTTGGGATACAACTTCTATCCCCACCCAGCCTCATATTTTACAGAGAAACAGCGCCATCTTTTGATGTCAAACAAAAGCCCACAATACTGGTTTTTCAAACCTGTTTTTCAGGTAAATTCACAACATACACAACTGTCACAGGATTTTTAATATCATAGCTATCAACTCCTAAGAATGTTTTCATTCCAAAAATCATAAACTGCACAGAAGATTGTTTACCAAGGTGAAAATTTGTAAAGCATCACAAAATCATATCAAAAGCATCTATTTTGGATCAAGAATATAACAATCTCTAATCACTATTTCATTAAACAAAATTTACCAATTATGTCATTCAACTGATATACATTAAATAAAAAAAAATTTCCGGTATTGCTGTTAGAAGTCAGGTGCTCCCCCACCATGCACACAGTGACTCAGCCCACAGACTTGTCATTACCAGCCACCACCAAAGGTGACCTGCCTACCCTTCCAAAGGTCTCTGCCATCAGATAGCTCTCTGTCTCTCTCTTTGTCTCTCTGTCTCTGTCTGTCTCCCTGTCTCTCTCTATCTCTATCTCTTTTTCTATCTCTTGCTCTCCTGCTCTGTCTACCCCCTCTCTCTTCTCCCCCCTCTCCCCTCTCTCTCTGTCTCCTTCCCTCCCTCCCCCTCCTCCTCTTCCTCCTCCTCCTCATCCTTCTTCCTCTCTCTCTCTCTCTCTCTCCCTCCCCCCCCTTTTCCACCCTGAGATGTCCTTTTGATCCCTGCCTCTTACATGAGATCTGTTGGGTGCTGTGATCTCTGCAGCGTTCCTTGGTCATCACTGATGAGGTACTTGTGCCACATGAACTCTAACAATTGCTATATCTCAATATTGATTATATTCAAGATGCACTCATAATAATACAATTGGACAAATAGTATCGGCAGTAAATTATCAGCTACGTTCAGAAAAACACAAAAACAAATACAGTAAGTTTCTGAATTACTTACACCAATGACACAATGTCACCACGTTGAACTTCAAAATTCCTCACTTTCCAGTGGTTCAAAAGTACCACATCCGAGGACTGGCTTCCCCCAGGATTCAAAGAAGGCTACAAAATAAGAAGAGATACGTTTACCACTTGTAATATTTTTCAGTCTTTATGATGAGTGCACTTCATAGCTTGAGAACAATTCAATAAAAAAATCCTACCGTTGTACAATTCTAAAGCGAGAACAAATAAGGGCTGGAGAGATAGGTCAGCTGTTAAAGGCTAGGCTCACAACAAAAAATATCAGAGAACAAATGAGTTTTCAGACAGGCTAAGTAGGATTCTTCCAAACAAAATGGAAAATAATTAACAATAATAATAATAATGTCACCAATATTTATTTGCAAGGAAAATCTGTATGCTTGAAATGAAGTCTTTACTAAATTCTAGTAAAAAGGTACATGAAGCTTTATGAAGCATAAAAACTCATGCAAAGAGGGATTCAATTGTTCCAGGATAATATTCCGGTGGGACCTACTCCCAATCATCATTCCATATGGAAAGAGAAGAAATAATCTAGTGTCAACCAGCAAAACTATCTGAATGAAGAACCACCTGGAGCAGGAGGAATAGGGATGGGGAAAGCACTAATATATAGATTTCCAACCCTCTTTTCCAAGAGCAAGTACAGGTCCTAGCCTGAGACTGTCCTTCTAGAGTTCAGACAACGCTGGTTGTACTGTAGATGGATGAAGTGATAGCTGGGAAGCACTGTGTTCACTGAGCCACAAACATTTCAGCCGTGAACCATGGCACCAACATAGCTGCTAGTTGGATGGGGCAACAAAGAGTCAACAAATAACAAGTCCAAGATGGAAGGTGAGGAACAAAGAATGAGAACTACGAGGAGAGCGTTTTCACAACTACTAAAAATGGAAATGCGATAATCAGCAACTTCCGTGATGACAGAAAGGGCTCCCGATAGCTGAAGCTGTTTGTGTTACTGCTAACTGATGGAGACAGCAAGAGGAGACACAACCAAGACATGGGCAAGGAAAAGGAGTAAGGGCCAGGCAACCATGCACTGAAACAACAGTGACAAACATTTTAAGGTTCCTTGGAATCAAGGGCTATGGCGATGGTTCGTGGGTAAACTGCTTGCTGCATATGCCAAAGAACTGGAATCCAGAGCCCCAGTATCTGTACAAAAGGACACAGCTACATCTTCTGTAACCCCAGCTCTTGGGAGGGAAAGGAGGCAGATCTCTGGAACTTATTGGTCAGCCAAAGAAGTGAGCAAGCTCCAGGTTCAATCAGAGATACAACCTCAGAAAAATGAGGTACATATGTATCCACACATGGGAGTATGGTTGATCAATCAGGGGCCACATTCAGAAAGAAAACTTCCCCTCTTTAACAGCTATCAATTGCAACAGTTCCTCAGCTGGGGGGTAGGACTTTATGCTCACCTCCATAATGAAATGTATCTGGTTTTAGCTTGAGCAGGTATGTAAACAGAACAAAGTGGACTTAATGGATTAAAACTAAAACCATAACAAGAAAGACATAAAAAAGGACACAAAGTTGGGTGAGGAGGGAAGGAACAGGTAGATCTATAAGCTATTGGAGGGGTGATTGTGATAAATTCAACCTTCAGCTGAATTACCCCAAAACCTGAGCATTATTTCGGCCTTAATCTCTCAGTGAAAAGATCCGTCTTTATAGAAGAGGTCCCATGCACTTTGCAACCTCCATCAACAGAATCTGTGTTTATGCCTATTATAAATCCTTCTTCCCTAGCCCCTTATCCTGAACACGGTTTATCAGCCAATAGAACTCCATCTTATGGAGGTCACAGGTGCTTTGCTATAGCAATGTACTTACAAGAGACTTTCGATGCAGCCATCCCTGAAGCTTTGTTGTGATATCTGTCACACAGAGACTTTTACCCAAAGTTTTACTGTGCCTTAATGTGTAAGAAAAATGAACTGAGAGACTGGACTCGAAGTTTTTGATGCAGAGCCTGCTGACGTGGTGCTTTCACAGACCCGCGACACAAAATTTTTAAAAACCTAATACTAAAAGGCCTCTCCCTTTTAAAAATAATTTTTATTTTAAATAAAATTTAAAATTAAACAGCAGTTTAAAATATGGCCAGGTGCAGTGGCACATGCCTTTAATCCCACCATTTGAGAGGCAACAGCAGATGGATATCTATATTTAAAGCTGATTTACATAGTGAGTTCAGACCAGCCAGGGCCACAGAGTGAGACCCAGATTTAAAAAAAAAAAAAAAGGTAGTAGACAGCAATTGAGGAAGATGTTCAGTGTCCATTGGTCTACACGCATACATGCACACACACACACTCCCCTATGTATACCATGAGCATATGTGTATGAGTACACAAACATACAAACATGACACAGACACAAAAAAACATAGAACAGGCCCTAGAACTGCTACTAGGTTTCCTTTAAAGGTTATGTGGGCAAAGATGTAGAGGTTGTAGCATGACCATATTTTTGACTCTCCAGGGTTGTGTGGACTCTCCAGATGTTAGTGATGTCTTTACTTCTAGTAACCAAGCCACATGATGTTTCTTTATTATCTCCTCATAATGGTTCTCAGATATGATACATCACCATATTTCAAGAAAAGTCATCACATAGCTTACAATACGTATACACTAACATGTATCTCACGTCCAACTCCAAAGGATGCTATTGCTCTCCAGACATGTGATCGTGAGCAAGTTACTCAATTTCATCATCCCTTCCTATAATAGTAAAATGATCAATAGATACTATTAATCAATACCTAGTATCTAATTAATAAGAAATGGTGATCAATATCTGCTAAGCATTCGCCATGTGTTGCTATATAGGACAGCCAGTCATTCTGATGCTTGAAGAGTTCAAGACACTAAGAGCTCTTAAGAGAGATCACTCTCTTCTGTTATTTTGACTATGTAGCAACAGCAAGCCAGGAACTCAGAGATCTCCCTGCCTCTGCCTCTAGGTGTGCTAGAATTAAAGGTGTTCCTCTATCATGCTGAGATAATTCTTTAAAAAGACTGTATCAGCTCCTGGCCCATAGTTATCATCTCAGTAACCTCTGTTATTGACATGTTCTACATGACAATCTTAATTACACATTTGTTTGTTTGTTTGTTTGTTTGTTTTCCCAGTTCCCTCTTTGTTCTTCCCCTAAACAAGAACAGAGTCCACACAGTGGGAAAACTCTTAAGGAGTTTGACTTGGCCATAGTGAGATGGAAAAGAGCACTTATCCCAATAAGAGGTTAAAAGTCCAGAACTGGGAATAAGGTTTAGGGGATAAAGCACTTGTCCTGAAAGTATGAAGACTAGAGTTCAGATCCCCACAAATCATGTCAAAGCAGAGTGAGTGTGGCCTCCATCTGCAATCCAACCATTTGAGAAACAGAGAGAAGGGAACTCTGAGCCAGACAGAGTAGCCAGACAGAGTCACCAGACAGAGTCGCCAGACTAGCAAGAATCGGTGATTCTGGGTTCAGGGAGAGACCTGGCCTAAATACATACACACATTACTGAGATGCTGAGCATCAAGTACCACCTATGTGCCGTGAGAGTGGAATGCACTCTCAAGTCACTTTCTCCTCGATGCTAAATCCAAAGAGGTTCACACTGCAACACTCAGCATACCAAAACAGACTTTCTGTTCATCTTGTTGGTCTTTACAAATAAACATTTTCTTTTATTGTAACCCCCTTGCTAAATTTACACTCTAAAACCAGCAACAATTATTTGAGCTCCAAACATGTGGTGACTTGAATAAGAATGGTCCCCATATGTTCGTAGATTTGAATGTTTGGTTACCACAGAGTAAGGTCTTTTGAAAGTATTAGGAGGTGTGCCATTGTTTGGGTGGGTGTGGCCTTGTTGGAGGAAGTATGTCTCTGGGGGGTTGACTTTGAGATTTCAGAAACCCAAACCAGGCTCAGTGGCTCTCTCTCTCTCTCTCTTACTGCTACTTCTCCAGCATCATGTCTGCCTGCATGCCATCATGCTTCCCACCATGATGACAATGGACTATATACCTCTAAACTATAAGCAAACCCCAGTTAAAAGATTTCTTTTATGAGTTGCCAAGCTCATGCTGTCTCTTCACACAGTAATAGAACACTGACTAAAGATAGAAGTTTATACCAAATACTGGAGTATTGATATGACAGATCTGACCATGCTTCTTACTGGTAGAATGAGGAGTTTGGGACTTTGGATTAGGAAAACAGTTGAACCTTTTAAGTAAGGCTTAATGGGCCATACTAGTAGGAGCAGGGAAGACAGTGGTATTAAGAACAATGTAGATTATGATGGCCCAGCTCAAGAGGTTTCAGAGGAGAAGAATTTTACTATGTGGCCTAGTTCTTGTGATGTTTTGGAGAAGGATGTGACTTCCTTTTCCCTTGTTCAAAAAGTCTTCCTGAGGCTAAACTGAAGTGTTTGGGATTAAAACCATTGGAAGTAGAGATTCCATAATCGCCTAGTATCAGCTGTGTTTGGTGGTTACTGGTTTCCAGTCTTATGCAGATCTATAGTGAGAAGGAGCATGCTTAGCAGGAGACATATAAAATGTACACTTTGAGGAGAAAAGGGACACTAGGATATATAATGGAGCTGATTCCTGTGCTCAAGGAGATAAACACACTAAAGCCTGATGTTAAATAGAATAAAGAGAATGGTGACCTCAGGGTAAGAGGTCACCCAGGTCATCCACCCAGCTAAGCTCTGTGTGTGTGTGTATGTGTGTGTGTGTGTGAATTATCTTTAAAAAAAAAAAACTTACATAGTGAAAGAAACCATAGAAAACAGAAAGCTGATGAAAATATTATTTGAATGAGGGCGCCATGTTACAGCCCCAGCAACCAGTAGACTTTGGCAGCTTTAACCACATGGTTCTGACTTATGAGTCAAGGATATAGTAAAAGGGTTGTGGAATCTCTCTCCACAGCTATGGAGAACAGCTGATGTCAGGCGTGTGTCTCTACATGGAAGCCACTGTGTGACGCTCTGAAGGTGAAGCCTAGATTTCAGTGAAGACACCATGATGTTGGAAATAGCAGCGGTGTAGAACACATG